ATGTTGATGTAGAAGAGACATGAAGAAGAGGGGACACATGTTGATGTAGAAGAGACATGAAGAAGAGGGGACACATGTTGATGTAGAAGAGACATGAAGAAGAGGGGACACATGTTGATGTAGAAGAGACATGAAGAAGAGGGGACACATGTTGATGTAGAAGAGACATGAAGAAGAGGGGACACATGTTGATGTAGAAGAGACATGGAGAAGAGGGGACACATGTTGATGTAGAAGAGACATGAAGAAGAGGGGACACATGTTGATGTAGAAGAGACATGAAGAAGAGGGGACACATGTTGATGTAGAAGAGACATGAAGAAGAGGGGACACATGTTGATGTAGAAGAGACATGAAGAAGTGGATTTAAATAGGTGACCTTTAAGTCCTTGTTGTACCTGGAGGAGTAGCTGGAGCTCCGGGACCGGCTCCTGGACCGGCTGGAGGACCGGGACCAGCCTCTGGAGCGAGACTTCTTGGGGGATCGCGATGTCCCCGCGGACGGAGACCTCTCCTCGCTGGAGCTCTCCTCGTTCCTCGGCCTCTGGTTGAGCCGAGCGGTCTTCCGGACCTCGTCGAACAGAGACCCCGGTCGCACCCGGCTCTGGCTCTTTATCTCCATCTTCACTCCCTGCGCCGCGGCGTTCTGGACCTCCTGGACGTTCACTACGCTGACGGGCGCCATGTGGACGTTCTGCGGGGCTGACGGTCCTTTCAAAGGCCTCCATTTGAAGTTAGCGACGGGAGGTTTTCCGGGGGTTTCATCTTGCAGTCCAGCAGAGGAGGGCACAGAAGGGTCTTTGCTTTGAGGTAAAGCGTTATCTGAAATTGTTGAGGTAGGTTTTACGATAAATTCAGGTGCATTATTAGAAAGATCGGTTGGTTGTACAATCTCAGCGTCATGCTCTGGCGTACAGATGTCCATATCGTCTAAAGACTCCTGCTGTTTGACGATGGGTACATCAGCCCCGTTCCTATTGGACGGCTGAAGAAGAGACTTAGTGTGTGTTGAGTTCTTGTTGATACATTCCTTCGCTCTCTGTTGAACCCTAATCCTTTCCTCTTTAGGGTTCGAGGTTATTTTTTCCACGACAGGCTTTTCTTTGAGAACTCTCCCAGGACTTTGTTTCTCTCGTTTGGTCTCATCCTCCTCCTCTTCCTCCTCTCCGAACTCCAGAGGAGGCTGCCAGTGGAAAGTCTCTTTGAGCTTCTGGTGTTTCCTCTTGGATCTCTTTCCTTTTTCCTTTCTGCTCTCGCGCCGCCGCTTGTGTTTTCGCTTACGCTTGGATTTCTTCTTGCTCTTGTGTTTCTCTGCGACCTCCTCGGGACCTTTGGCAGCAGCCATGGCGATCTTTGGCGCAGACACTTCTTCAGAAGCTTTCCTGGAGGTCTCAAACTCTGATTCTGAACTAGCTTCCCCTTCCTCTTTCTCAGATATAGCCAAATTCCTGGCGGGCACATGATCCGAATCGCTTTCCGAATTCCACGCGGACGACTTCTTATCGAGAACTTCTCTGGACTGGACTGCTCGTTTCTGCTTTTTTGACCGAGCCCCGCTGTTGCTCCCTCTCTCAGTGTCACTGTCCCATTCAGACCTGCTGTTAAAGCTCTCAGCAGGCATTGAGCTGAACTGCTTCCCCTCTTGATCCTGTGATCTCGTTGAGACATCCGGACTATTCGACCCTGACTTGGCATCTTGGCTACTCGCGAGTGAAACGTGCTTATCTACGTTTTTGACCCTCTTCAGGGAGCTGTAATACTCTTTCCATTCCTTGTCCAGTGAGTTTCTTTTGTTGCTTGGTGCTTTCTGGGAGGTTTCAGAGTCCGACCCGCTGTAGGTGGAGGACCTGCTGTAACTCCTGCTCCTGGAGCGACTGTAAGACCTGCTGCGTTTGTGGATTTCAGACTCAACCAACAGACACTTTGGTGTAACGGCAGTCTGAGCTTTTTCTGTAACACTGGCTACAGTTGCTCCAGACGAAGAGCCGAGAGCTGCTTTTGCTTTAACCTCCTGGACGTAAGACGGCTTCCAGGGCTTCTGACCGGGTTTCCAGCGTGACGGCGGGGGGCTGTCGCTCATCGGGATCACGGGGGTACTTTCTGAAGCCGGGACACTCGGGAGTCTGGGAAGAGGCGGGGCTTTGCTGTCTGGAAGCTTCTCGGGCATCATGGCGGCCGCTTTGGGCTTACTACCTTTCGTCTTTCTCGGGGATAAACTATTCTTCCTGGACGAGGACCTAGATCTGTACCTGGATCTTGACCTGGATCGAGAATAGGAACGAGATCTGGATCTAGACAAAGACCTCGAAAGGCTTCTGGATCTCGAGTAAGACCTTCCTCTGGATCTGGACTGGCTGTAGGACGATCTAGAGTAGGATCTTGAGTCTCTAAATGAAAGCGAGGACCGTAGCTTCCTCTGGGTTGAGGAGTCCCGCTGGTTTGAAGACGACCGGGATCTCTTGGACTTCCTCTCTGAAGACGCCGGCGTTTCACTCACGGTAGGGAGAGGCTCTGGAGGTTTGTTCTTTGAGCTCTTCTTCTTCCCGCGTTTCCCTTTCTTGGACTTCTTCTTGTGTTTGGATTTCTTCTTCTCTTTCTTCGGTTGGCGCTGCAGGCTCGATCTCTCCGAGCCGCGATCCGAGGAGTGATCTGCAGACCGGGACCACGCAGAGTCACTCCTGTTCTCCCATCTGCTTGAGGAATGGTCATTCAATCTGTTAAGTCAAGAGATGCATGAAGGAAAATAAAGAGAAATCTGATGTTTGAAGTAAACGGTAAACAGGTTGAGTCCTACTTGTCTCCTTTGCTCCACCTCTCGATGCTCGGAGGTTGGTACACTTTGGTTCTCTTCATCTCCTCTTTCCAGTGTGGCGGAGTCTCACTGCTGCCACGTTCCTCCACTGACGCAGAGCGAGACTTAGACCTCGTCGGGGTGTGATATCTCTGCGAAAAAGGAAAATATACGGATACGTTGGATGTCACAATAACCCATAGTTTGGTGACAATTCGATGCCAACACTGTGGTGGTACTTGTAAAGAAGGGTAAGTTAAAGCAGGCCTACATTGCTTTGTTTTTTACTGGTATTGGTAACGACTACTACATTTCTGTTGGTGTGATACTTCCTATTGCATTGATACAAATAAGTGAAAACTCTTAACGCTCACCGAGGCTGTGCTTAAAGATTTAGGACTACAAAAACTACAAAAAGCACAATAGGGCAGTGGGTCAATTATTTATAGTAATGGTAGCGCTTTGTTTGTGTAACCAAACCCTAACCCTAACGGTACATCCACACAGCAGCTTTAAACAAATCTTCCAACGCTTCTCTGCCCATTGACTTTGAATGGGGATGACGTCACTTTGCCTCGCTTTTCGCCGAACTGCATTGTGGGGAAGCAAAGCGAAGATTTCCAGGATTCTCAGGATTTTCCGGATTCAAAAGTTGAGCAATGTTCAACTTTTGAAGCTGAGGTGGAAGCGTCAGCCAATCAAATCCCGTTTATGCAAATCTGACAGTACAAGCGCTAGCCAATCAAACCGCGTGCAAGCTGGGAGAGCCAGACCGCAGTTCATTTTCTATATTCTCATATATCCAAACGAGAAATACGGTAGCAAATCACCCGCGGTTCTTTAACGAACCAGAACTATTTACCGGGATA